AGGAGGGTTTGAGAGTGGTTCTTCTGGTGATCGTTCAAAGTTTGAATATCCACTCTATAAAGATAGATGTGAAAAAGTTTAATGGTACGAATAACTTTGGATTATAGAGATGTGAAGTTTTGAATATGTTGAATGCGTAAAATTTGGAAGATACTTTGGAATTGGACGGCAAGCCTGACGACATTGAAGAAAAGGTTTAGAAGAAGATCAATCGGACGGCGTGTGGCATCATTAGGTCTTGTTTAATGCAAGATCTAAAGTATAATGTGATTAATAAGACTTCGATAAAGAAGATTTGGGAGATTCTTGAGAGCAAGTATTTGACAAAGAGTGTTGAGAACTGCTTGTATTTGAAAAGGAGGCTTTACCATTTCCAGTTGAAGAAGAGAATCTCAATTAGTGATCACATGAACAACTACACGAAGCTTCTTGCGGATTTGACGAATATGGATGTTATGATCGATGATGAGGACAAGGCATTGTTGTTGTTGAGTTCCTTACCTGACGAGGAATATGAGACCTTTGTTCTTACCCTAATTAATAGAAAGGCATCTCTTTCATATAGTGAGGTCATCACTACACCTGTGAACTATCAGCTTAGGAAGAAAGACAATGAGTCTTCTAATGATGTAGTAGTGGAGGCATTGGCTACAAGAAGGAAAATTCCAAACCGAAATAGGAGGTCACAGTCTAGAGGAGCACATTCTTCAGTTGGTAGGAATCAATGTGTTTTTTACAAAGAATATGGGGAAGAATAATTTGGGAATAAGGGGAAAGCTAGGAAGAATAAGGGGAAAGTCTGAATGCCCAAAGTTGAAAGATAGAGCTAGGAAGAATAAGGGGAAAGCTATACAAGCTTCAGAGGTGAATGTTGCCAAGGCTAGTGGCGACAATTCAGATTCAGATTCTTCGGGCTACTCATACCCTACACTACCATCAGTTTGTGATACCGACTCTACGGAATGGATATTGGATTCGGGTACTTCATACCATATTTGTCCTAGGAGGGATTGGTTCTCTAGCTTTAAAGAGTTAGAAAGAGGGGATGTTGTGCTCATGGGTAATGATCATGAATGCCCTATTGGTGATATTAGAACAGTTCGGATCAAAATGTGTGACGGTGTGATTAGGAAGTTGAAGGAAGTGAGGTTCGTTACGCAGTTGTCGAAGAACATCATTTCACTTGGAGTTTTAGAGGCAGCAGGCTATAGGGTGATCTTAGAGGATGCATCTCTGAAGGTCACAATAGGGTCCATGATTGTAATAAAGGGCGTCAGAAAGAATAATTTGTACTATTTGATTAGGAGCACAGTGATAGGTGGAGTGCTGACAACTTCTATTGATTCGGCTAGACTGTGGCATTTGAGGAGGCTGGGACATTCTTGTGTTGATTCTATGCATGGATTGGAGAGAGGTTCTTTGACCTGCAATTTGGAGTCATGCGAACATATTGGTGTGACCAAGAAGACCGAGGTGAAGTTTGGCACTTCCATGCACCGAGTGAAGAACCTTCTAGATGATGTTCACGTAGGCATTTCGGGGGCCTTCCAAGGAGGCATCATTGGGAGGTAATAGGTATTTGGTTTCCTATGTTAAAGACTATTCTAGGTATTTGTGGATTGCAACCAAGCCTCGTTTGAGTGAAGTCCTAGTAGTCAACAATAGATGGAAGAAGTGTATAGGCAGAAAGGTAAATTTACCTAGTTCTGATTTTAATAGGAAGTACAAGATGGATCCTTTTCTGCATTTGTACCTAGCTCAAAGCAATTTGAGACACTTCATTGGAAAGGAAACATTGAGGCAACGAGATGAGATGGCAAATTTGATGGGTTGTTCCTTGCTGGAGAAGGATCGATGTTTGATGTCAAGTAGTGGTTTGCAGAGGAGTTTTGGTGTTGAGGCTTTGACATATTGGAGTCATCTTATTTACAGGTTGTTGTCTACTGTGATTGGAGTATTTGGATCTGGTGGAGCTTCTTCAGATTTTGGGTTGCTTTGGATATTTGGATGCCCAGCATATTGTCACATTGAGGATGTGAAATTTGATCCGAGTACACATTTAGAATTTAGAGGCGTGTTTGGTTACCAGTTATGGGATTCTGATATTGTTCTGAGCAGTATTATCACATTTGACTCTCAGTAGGTGGGGAGTGTTTTGGACAGATCATTGGGATATTATAGCGGGTGGAGAGTGATGCTACTTCACGTTTTATGGAGATTACTCCTTGTTGTCCAGATCATTCTGTATCGTTTGGAATTCTGACTGAGGTGACAAAGATTAGGAATCATTTTGGTGTTGATGCAGATTATGAGTTTGTTAATTCGAGTGCAGCTGATGGACACAGTTCGGATTTGGCTATGACCGTTGGTTCACCTCAGTTGGAGGTATTTGATAATTGTGTTTCTTCTACATATAGGATTGAGGAGTTGAGCTCCAAGATAGAGTTGGTGGGGAGATATGCAAGTTTGGAAGAGAGTTTGTTTTTTCACTTTGAGGACAACAGGGGTGTGATCAGCTGCAGATTGGTTAGTGCTGATGATCGAAAGGTTAGTGAAGGATTGAGAATTATTCTAGTTGATTGGGGTTGTTTGCGGCCATTTGGATGAACTATGTGTGTCTAGATTCCTTGGGCAAGAGGATACGTAGGCAGTCATTTTGATGCAGCCAGTTCGATGAGTTGATACCGATATTTTAGAGTTTGTTCGCGTTCTCATTTGGGTTCTCGACTTGTTGTGGATAAAGTCCGTTGTCGTGGATTGTTTCCACTTCATACTGGACGCAACAAGTGGGACGTTTGCTTGGTATTGGTGTTGGCTTGGTTTTGGAAAAACTTCGCCGATGTGGAGAATTATAGAAACGGCGAAAATGGCAATAAAGTACAGGAAAAACGAAGCAGGAAACAGTCTGGGTGTTGTCCGGTTGACCATGACAACATGTACGGTCGACCGGAAACGTACACGAGTACATGGTGTGTTTCTGCACTCTGACTGGTCGACCGCCACGGTCGACCGCCAAACCCTGTAATCGATTTTTAGTTTCTGTCTTTCTAGTCGGTCGACCGCGACTATTTCGACGGTCTAGCACTAGTCGGGTTTGGGCCTGATTGTGGTTTCCTATTCTGATTGGGATTTGTTTATGGTATAAATATAAACACGATTTTAGGATTTTGGGGAGTTAAAAAAGGGGTTTGTTTTGTGCACAGAAAAGAGAGTTTTCTGAGTAATTTGATTAGGGTTTTCTTTGAGAGATTTGAGAGGTTTGTTTGAGAGATTTTGAGTGAATTTATAATCTTTAATTGTACTCTCCTTCTCTATTAGTGAAAACTCATCCCCTTCTTACCCCGTGGACGTAGGCAACTTGCCGAACCACGTAAAATTCGTTTGATTGTGTTTGTGCCGTTATTTTGATTGTGTTTGGCCTTCTCTCTTAGCGTTTGTGTTTGCCCTCGGAACCCCAACACTATGGGTGTTAGAAATCTAAAAATTCTGATCTGTAGGATTATCTGTGTCTTATATATGGATATTTGGCTTAATGGGGTTGTCTAGCGGATTGACTGTTTTTGACTTAAAATCCATTTAGGCTTTTTATTAACACTTAAAACCCTTATAAAAATTCCATTTTAATCACTAAAACACAAGATTCATACAAACTAATAAGCAAAAAGGAAACTATTCATCTTTTATTGTTGAAAAATGATTATGAAATTATTTTCTAGTAAACAAATACATGCACATATGCACGTGATACAAAAGCAAAAGAAAATTAATCCAACTTTTAAAAATTTTATTATATAATAATTATGAAAAGTGTTTTTCTAGTTACTAAAGTATTTCTTTAGCTATATATTATAATACTATATGCATGTTACTTAAGACTCTCTATTTATAACTTATATTGTGTTTTTTAATTTTTGTTTATATGATTTTAAAAGGTCATGAATTTTTAAATTGCAGAAATAGAGGAATGAAAGCAATGAAACTGTTCAGAAGGAGAGGAGTGAACTTTTAAATTTGGAAAGAATTGAAGGAATTGAAAGTAAAAGAATCTTCTGGAGACATGGGAGGGAGGAAACCAATAAAATGTTGACAAATGGCTAATCTATCCTTAGCTTTTATTAAAATAAGAGCTTTGCTATAGGGACCCAAAATATGGGACCAATAGGGGGGACAAGTGATGTGTCCCCCTCCTATTGGATAATGAGTTGATCATCATTAATGATGGCTAACTCATTATCCAATAGGAGGGGGACACCTCACTTGTCCCCCCATTGGTCCCATATTTTAGGTCCCTAAAGAATTTTTCTTAAAATAAAATGACCCACATTTTTTTATGAAACTAAAGGAATAAAAATTCATTTCTCCACTTTTGTATACCCTCACAATTTCCTTTATAGATTAGTATAGATAGTATAGATACTGATTCCTTATTAACTTTAACCTACTATATATACTGTAACTTTTTTTTCCACATTGTAAATTTGTTTTATTTTGTTATCCTGCTGTAATTTTCTAGCGCACTCTCACATTTATTGTCTAGCGTTCTTCTTGGAGGTTAAACTAAAATTTTGAAATATGTAAATATTGGTGTAGAAGTTTCAAGAGAGTAAAATAATTCAGGGAAAGGTAGAATATTCTAACAGATGTTTTCAGAAAATGTGATGGAAGAATTTAATAAGAGTCATGAAGAAAGTTACGTAAATTGGCTAGAAGGTTAGAAGATTGTAGAAGCGCTCTATAGTACCTATAAATACCCCATGAGGGGGTGGTTCTAAGTGTAATTAAATTGTGGAAAAATATCAAGTTGTGGAGATTTGAAGTTGTAGGGGCTACTGTTCTCAACACAAAGATTGACAAATTCATAATTTCTTTCATTACGATAAAATACCTCAACTCTCCAAATGTGAAGACGACAATATATACCATGAGACGTAGAAGAAAGTAAAAGTGAACATATGCTAACACGACCTGTTTACCTTCTTCCTACAATAAGTGAACAAATATCACCTTACCATTCTCGCAAGAATCTTCAAAATATCATTCATCGATGGCCGATTCATAGGATTTTTGTCAACACAACCTTTAGCCAAAACAATCATACAGAGAGCATCACCGACAGGATAATCCTTAAGATTTGGATCCAAAACTCCCCTAAGTTCATCAAAACAGTCACCTCCTCCTCCTTCACCATGCAAAAATCCCAATCTCTGCCTCGTCAAACTCCCATCTTTGATCTCCTTAGCTGACAGGATATCAAAAAGAACAACTCCAAAGCCGAACACATCAACTTTCGTTGATACCGTTTCATAAGAATTGGTGATGATCGATCCTTCACCTAAATTTGCAATCTTTGCCCTCCAATCCTCGGTAATCAGTATATTTCTACTATTTACGTTCATATGTATATATGAAGGAATCGTGCAATGATGTATATAATGAAGACCGATAGCGATATCAAAGGCAATTTGAGTCCTCTTTTGCCATGAAAGAGCATTTGCTGAATTCTTCAAGCAATCTCTCAAACTCCCATTTCTTGCAAACTCGAAGACTAGAAACGAGGAAGAGTACTCATCATCTCCATAACACACGCCTTCAAGTTGAACGATGCTGGAGTGATTGATCTTGGAATGGATACTGATTGTTCTTCTTGCATCCCCAAATCCCATTTTCTTGATCACAAGCTCATTATCACCGATTCTACCCTTGAAAACCGAAGAACCCAATTGAGTTTCTTTGCTGAAATCATTTGTGGCTTTGCTTAGCTCTTCGGTTGTGTAACTAATGAGAGAGTATTTGGACATGACTGCGATTATATCAGGCGATAAACATGTAGGAGTTGAGTGAGAAGAAGAGTGTTTGATCTTAACACCTCTCTTTCTATTCTTGGCTCTACAACAAAAAGAAACTCCTGATAACAAAACAAACGCCGAAAACAATCCAATAATTGTTACAATAACATACAAAATCTTGCTCCTCGCCTTTGTGTCGATCATCTCGCTCGGTGAAAATGGAGTGAAGCCATGATCTCGGTCGCCTGGATCCGATAAATTCCAGTTTATAATTGGAATATCTCTAAGAGGAACCAGAACTGTAGTATTAGTAAACAAAGTTGGGTTTGAATCCACCATACTGTTCTGAGCTAACAAATCACCAAGAGAAATCCCAAATTTCTCAGCTATAAGTCCTGGTTCATCCATTTCTTGAATCGGGTAAGTAACAAGATACCGAAGTCCTTGCCTAGTATCATTTTCATCAGGACAGGCACATTTTAGAGGAACTTTCAGCTTCAAACCTTTCCTAACATTATCAGGATCATAATTTCTCTCCTCTGACAGCGTAGAAAGCTTAACCAAGCCTTCGAAGACATCACAAGAGATATCATTATATGTCATAACATAAGGAACCGTATAAATAAGCTCGGAGCGAAAGAAGCCAGAGGAGCAAGAGCATTTGATAGGGAGTAAGATCTCTCTGTTGTCCTCAAGAAGCTCAGACGAATCTGCCAGGTTATTTACCTGTAGAACTTGATGTAAATCTGCGTCGAAGACTTTTGAGATGCTTGAGGCATTGTTGAGGCCACGACGAGCTCTGTAGACTATGAAAGTGTTGCAGGAGGAGGAGAGGGGCGAGTTGCAGGCATAGCGAGAGCCCGGAGAGGGGGTCGGCAAGGAGCACGAGGTGGTATCGTAGAATTGGGAGGAGAGTGAGGATCTGAAGGAGAAGATGAGTAGTAAGAGATAGAGAATAAGCATCGACTATTTTGAGAGGAAGGAATGACGAGAGAATGATATGTGAGAAAACTTTTGCTTACATATGGAACCTTTATTTCCAAAGTTTTTTAATTATTTTTGGTAAATTTTACAAGAACCCCCCCATAAAGTTTGGGGGCTCTGACAAAAAAAAGTCCTTCTACATAAATAAATCAAAGAAAACCGTCTGAACTTTCAAAATTACACTAAGCATCGTGAGCAACTAGAAAATCTCATAAATGGCGCTTGTACATCGAGTATAAGGTGTAAAAATTAATGTGGCCTACTTGTTGTGTCGGTTCTCCCACATGAATGTTCTTCTCTCCATTCAAATTTTACGGTGAGAACTTTTATTTATCATAATTCAAACCTATTTATTCTACAGGTTAATATCATTTATGAGATTTTCAATAATTCAGGAGTTTAGTAGTGTTTTGAAATTTTAGAAGTTTTTTTTTTTTTTTTTTTTTTTTGAAAATTAACTCGAACATCTTCCAAACGAAATAGGACTACAATTAGCTTTATCAGCCCTTGCCCTTACGAGTTAGGATCAATACTGCACAATTGTTTTGCATGAATATCAAATTACTTAGATTTTATATGGTTATAAACTTGTAAGAGGGAATAAGAAAAATGTGTTGTGCTAGAGTTGCATTTTGTAATAGATTATATGTCCATTATTACTTCAAAGGAGATCCAAGAGTCTGAAGCCAGCCGATGATAAGGTATTTATTTGACAAGTACATTTCACTTAAATTATTTCTCATAAAAAATAAAAATAAAAAAGAAATTAAGAAGCTTTGACTGAGTGCGACAAAATTGCCGGCGATGCAAAGCGTAATAATGGTTGGAAACTTTATTTAGTGTCGTAGCATATGATGCTACACAAAGATGTTTTTTTAACAAAACAGAACAGATATATGTGACAATGGCTAGGGTGGCATGTGTGATGACTATTGTTACTTGTAAATAGAGGTTGAGAATCAAAGTTAATCGAAAGCTTAAATTGTTTCTATTCAAGGTTGTTATTCTTAATTTTCTTTCAATGCGAGACTATGCTCACACAGGGAATTATCAATAAAGCCTCCCTATTCAATATTTGTGAGTATAGGTTTTATTGTATGGGAACCATGACCCCCTATTCACTTGGTCTAAATTGGCAATTATAGACTGAGAACATGATTACATATTCATCTTTTGTGCGTCAACCTCTGTCATCAAAGCATAACAATATGACTGCAGGCATTCTATGAACTGCCTAATCATAATATTAAGCCACGTGATTCTCTAAACCGGTATTTATGGAGCAGAATATGGCTATCAACACCTAAATCTCTCGTATTTAAACTCATCGCTACTTTTCTAAGTACTATAACGTGGAACTTGTATTCACGCATGAAATTTCCAATAAGTCTGCCTCAATACAAACCAATTTGAATCTATTATCGACCTAAATATTTAAGGCTAACTCGGTAAGTATCTTGCAATGTCTAAATAACATGCATTCAAATGACTACAGCAGTCAAGTTACTGTTGTACGCAGTGAAATTTTCGGCAGAGTTTCTGGTGCACAATAAGAGAGAAAAATCAATAAGAATTCTCGTCTCACAAAGGAAACAAGAATCTGAAGCGAATATCTCAACAAAGTGAGATATCGGCTCTTCCTCTCAACAGTTCTAGGACTGACCTGTCGAGGGATCCTAATAAACTATTACAATGGCCACAAACGCAAACAAACTAATTTTACGTGGTTCGACAAACTGCCTACGTCCACGAGGCAAGGAGGGTGGAGATCTACTATTAGAGGGAGAGAATACAACTAGGGTTTATAATCTCACAATCTAACCCTCAAACAAACTCTCAGATCCCTCACACAAATATCTCTCTCAAAAGTACAAAAGGACTGTTTGCACTCTCAGATCCCTCACACAAATATCTCTCTCAAAAGTACAAAAGGACTGTTTGCACGAAGCCAAAGAAAGCCGCTGACTTTTCTTTTGCACCTCTGCTCTCAAAAGTACAAAAGGACTGTTTGCACGAAGCCAAAGAAAGCCGCTGACTTTTCTTTTGCACCTCTGACTGCGCCTGTTCTCTGCAGCCGCCGCTTTGCGCTTTTGCCCACCTGCTCAACTTCGTACGCCACTGCACACCTTTTCACAGCCGCCAAAAAATCCTCTCCTTGCATTATTCCCAAACCCTAGAAGCTAGGCTTTTATAGGCAACAGAACTCGGGTGGGCCGTACTCATTACGCGTTCAAAAAAACTGGTTCGTGAAGTCTCTTCACGTGGGTGGGCCCCTCTTCTCTTCACGTCTTCATGTGAATTCACAATTCTCCACCTCGGCCAAACTTTTCCAAAACTGAGCCGACACCAATTAAGCCAAATGTCTCACTTGTTGTATCCAGCACGAAGTGAAACAATTCACGACAGCGGACTCAATCCACAACAAGTCGAGAACTCAAACGAGAATGGGAACACTCTCCAAATGTCGGTATCTACTTACCAAATCGATCTAACCCCCATCAAAATCAACTAATACAAACCGGCTGCATCATAAATGACTGCCTACGTATCATCTTGCCCAAGGAATCAAGCCTTACGTAGTTCACCCAAATGGCCGTGAACGACCTCAATCCAATAGAAGAGTTCACAACCCTTCTTTAATTTCATCAACTCTGCGGGTTGATAGCACCTCCAATGGCCTTAAACACCTCCACCTGAGGTGAACCAATGGTCATATCCAAACCGCATCTATAAGCTGCACTCAAATCAAAACCCAACTCATCATCTGCATCCAAAACCAAATGATCTCCAAACTGTGTCACCTCAGTTGGAATCACAAACGATGCAGAATGATCTGGAGTATATGGAATAATCTCCACCTAATGTGAAGTAGCATCAATCTCCATTCGCTGTGATACAACTAAGGTTTGTCCAAGACTCTTCACCTGCTGAGAGGCAATTAGCTTCCTCATCGAAGCCTCAACCAAAGTGACACTACCAGACCTATCTTCCAATGGAGTTTTACCTCCAATCACAGCAGTTGACAACTCTTTAATAGGATGACCCAGATATGTCGAAGCCTCAGTCTAGAAACTCTTCTGCAGACCATTACTTGACAACAAACACCGATCCTCCTCTAGCAAGGCACGGTTCTCCGAATTTGCCACCCTATCTAGTTGCCCCAAGATTTTCTTTCCAACGAAGTGTCTCGAAATGCTGTGAACTCGGCTCCAATACAGAAATAGGTCCATCTTGTACCTCCTATCAAGGTTATCGATAGCGGATAGCGTCGCGTAGCGGTGAGGCATCGCTAAGGCTATTTCGGGCTATTGCGGCAAAATAGCGATAAAAAGCGCAAAGTCAAATAGCGGTCTAATTTAGATATGTATAAATACTAAAAAAAATTTAAAGAAAAATCTAAGAAATCTAAAAGTACATATTGGATGATTTAAAGAGATCCTAAACACGAAATAGACATATAACCATCATGTAATACCGAAGATGACTGGAAGAGTCAAAAAGTCGTCGTCTTCGAGAAGAAGAGCTTAGTGGTGACATGACTGCCTTAAGAGGAGCTCACGGTGAAGGAGGTGAGAGGAAGTATCAAGGTAGGTGCCAGAGGCTATGAGAGGTGGCAGGAGTATGCTGAAAATCACAGGAGATGGTGGAATGCAATGATCAAGGGTTGAGTTTAATTTTAAAAAATTAAGCCTCAAACCGCTTTTAAATAGCAGTCAAAAAGCAAATTTCGAATGCAATCGCTCACTATTTATCGTTATGACACACCATTGGCCGCTTTTGCAAACAGACATATTCCGCAATATGTCACCGCTATTGCGCGATAGCGTAGCGGGCGATAGCGTCGCGGGAAGGGACTGCTAACGCTATTAGCGCCGCTATTGCGGGGCTATTTACCGCTATTTATAATGGTGACTCCTACCAAAACCAGAATGAAGTACCTTTACCTTTCTGTCCATCTTACACTTCTTCAAACTGTTAGAGACTACTAGGACTTTATCCATAGGGGATTTGGTTATAACTCAAACACGCCTAGAACATCCACTAACAAAGGAAACCAAACTTATATTACCTCCTAATGATGCCCCCTTGGAAGGCTCCCAAACATCCACGTGAACACCTCCGGAACGACCCTTAGCTCGGTGAATAGAGGTGCCAAACTTCACCTCGGTCTTTTTGCTCACGTCAACATGTTCACTGGACTTCAAACTGCAGGTCTTCGCACCCTCTTTTAATCTATGTGAGGAATCAATACTGGAATGACCAAGCCCCAAATGTCACAGTCTAGTTGAATCAATAGAAGTCGCCAGTTCTCCATCTGTCACTATACCTCTAGTCAAGTAATACAGGTTATTCCTCCTGATGTCCTTCATCACAATCCGAGAGTCTTCCATAATCTTGAGAACCATGTCCTCAATTCGAACATTCAGACGCTCTCCAACCAAAGCTCCAATCGAGATCAAGTTCTTTCTCAAAGAAAAAACATATCTCACATCATTTAACTCTCTAACAGTCCCGTCAAATATTTTGATGTGAATTCTTCATATCCTAAGGATTTGGCATGCACGGTTATCAGCCATGTACACCACACCACTATCCAGTTTCTCAAAACTGGAGAACCATTCCCTTCTAGGGCACACATGATAGGTCGCACCATTATCCAACATCCACTCAGATTCCTCCGAATAGCTACATGTAGGACTGATAGAAAGCGAATAAATAGAAGAGTCAGAAATATTACCATCTGATACGATGTTTGCTTCAGATGATAGTTGCTTCCCTTTTCCCTTCTGCTTATTCTTCATCCATTCGTCGAGCTTTGGGTAGTCTTTCTTCCAATGACCAGTCTCCTTGCACCAAGCATACTGATCTTTTCTAATTATAGGATGTCCTACTCTAGACTGTGACTTCCAATTCTTTCGGTTTGGACCCTTCCCTCTTGCGGCCAACGACTCTAGACTGTGACTTCCAATTCTTTCGGT